CTTCCGTCCTCACACCCCTGGGAGGGGTGTCCCTCCCCCCCGGGTAAACACCCCACCGCCCGCCCAGGGTCTGCCCCGGTGCTCCCCCGCCCCGAGGCATCACCCCCCGGCGTTACCCGGCCCCCTAAACAGGTGCCAAAGCAGCGGACTCCTCTGCAAAGCCCCGTGACGGCCCCAAGTCACCGTGTCCCCAGCTCGGCTCCAACAGGAGTGCTCGCCCCGGAGGGTGGGTGTTACCTGCCTGAGCCTGGCTGGTTCTAGCGAGCCATGCTTCCTCCACTGCTCCTGCCACAATGCAGCTTCCTTCTCTTCCCAGCCCTGGGGAGCATTAATAGAGTTTAATTACACTTTTTGTTTACTTGGGGAAGGCAATTTGCAACCCAGTACTTCATCCGAACCGATGGAAACACACACTCGCCCCGGAGGGTGGGTGTTACCTGCCTGAGCCTGGCTGGTTCTAGCGAGCCATGCTTCCTCCACTGCTCCTGCCACAATGCAGCTTCCTTCTCTTCCCAGCCCTGGGGAGCATTAATAGAGTTTAATTACACTTTTTGTTTACTTGGGGAAGGCAATTTGCAACCCAGTACTTCATCCGAACCGATGGAAACACACAGCCCAAGGCACATGCTGCAGCTCCTTTGGGCTGTGCTCCCCCATCTCCCCAACCCCCTGACCTTTGTGTCTCCCACTCTGGTTCTGATCCTCTGTAATCCCAAATCTATTCACGTGTGCTGAACGACAGCCCAGCCAGGGAGAGCCCTCATGTGTGGAAACCCCAGCATGGCAGCCCACAGGCACAGGAGCCCGAGGTGGCCTAGCTGCAGAGCCAAGCATGAAAAGCTGGTGTGTAGGCCATGGAAGGGGAGGGATTTCACCTCCTGAACAGCTGGGATTTTTTTGGTAAGCAGATAGGGAAAGGGAGAGAAACCAGCAAAATGCTCAAATCCACCTTGAAAACAAAGGGAGGCAGCAAATAAGGATTTTAAGGCACAGTCTGGTGTGAGCTGTGAGGTGTCTGGTAGACAATGTGCTAAGTTGTAGGTGGGAGCTCGTATCCTTCACCCAGAGCACCCTGGGGTGGTGTGACTGCACAGACACCCCGTGTGTAGCAGAGAGCAGGCTGGGGCTGAGTCAGTCATTTACAAAATAAAGCTGCAATCGATCAAACAGAGAAATCAATAGTGCAGAGACCAATCCTGATGGTTAACACTGCATAGGATTTAACAGTTCTGTTCTTGGTTTTTTCCATATGCTTTTTTTTTTTTTAATGTGAAAACACAACATCCAGTAGGAACCGGAAGCTTTCAGAGCATGGAAAAGGCCAATGGAGATTTCAGCTGACTTGAGAATGGCTCAGGAGTTATTAGGGCCAGAGACATGGCAAATTAAAAGAGAGGTTTTTCTAAACCACCTGGCAGCAGCAAAATAACAAACACCAAAGCCCTACTGAGGTCACCCTTGACATCCCATCAGGACTGCAATGTCCACAGGGTGTGGAAGGCATCCCAACCCAGTTGGACCTCAGCTCAGCAGATTCCACAATCACACAGGCTATATTTTCTTTACAGTGGCCATCCCAGCTGCAGAGTAAACTCCTGGGGTGGGGAAGTGCAAGCTCCCTTCTGCCCAAGGGTACTCTACACAGCACTAAGTTCTGGAGAGAAGGGAAAGCTGCTGTAGGACCCAGACTGAGGGTGTCACACACTGTCCTCCAGCTCTGGGCTGCAGTCCCCTTGGTGTGGTTCACCACTCCAAGCAGAACTTCCCTCTCCCTCCCTCCTACACCCCCTCTCAAACCCAACAACTGCAGAACAGCTCTAGAGCATCTAACTCCCAAACCAGAAGAAGAAACACTTTGTGCTCCACACATGGCACTTCTTGGACACTTGGCATGAGCTCAAGTCCAGCCACAGACTTTTGGCATTGCCTCAGGGTTGTGTTTTCATAGCTCTGAAACATCCAGCACCCTGAGGGAAGACAGGAAGATGGGTAAGGTCACAAATTAAATCCCAGGAGCTTTTCTGGGCAGCCTTTCAGGCAGTGTGCATGAACTGTTTTGGAGGTGAAGAAACCACACACACTTCCATGATGTGACTGAGGTTACTCAGCACCAGTCCCTAAGAACTCAGCCCAGGATGGGATGCAGTTTAAGCACACAAGGACACACAGGCTAAGTGTCCACCTCCCCACCATCCACCTTTGTCAGAAGAGAAAGGGAGGTGCAAAAGGACCCCATTCCTCACCACAAACATGCCTGTCACTCAGCTCCCTCCTGAGTGAGGTGCTTTAGCAGAAACTGTCTAGCTGCTGCCAGTTTTGAGATCATACCCTCCTCCTCGATACACGCTGAAGAATTTCCCTGTACACACATCTGCTCTAAGAAATGGTGAGATAAATCAGGCTGGTGCCATCAGCTTTACCAGCTGGTAGCCATCAGCTTTGCTCTGCTGTTCCCCCCTGAAGCCTCAGGCACTGGTTTGCTTTTTCCCCTCCCATTTCTGGCACAATGGATCCATGTGCTTGCCCATTGCTGGGTTGCCAATTTTCTGGTGTGGGTTTGGGCCACACAGGCCGTTTCTTCCTTTGTCATTTTCTCACACATGTGGCATGGGAGGAGGCCTGGCTGACAGAGGCAGAACAACCACCACATCCAGATACTCCAGGGCAGAGGCTAGGCTCACTCTCCTCCTCAGAGGATTCACTCACAGTTTTGCCACCAATATTCCTCAACTCAAACCCTGCAAAGCTCATCTTTCTTTTCCCCTCCCTGCTGAAGGCATCCATGTTGAAAAACATACACCAAAGTCCTGAGAAGAAAGGTAATTAAGTGCCGATGACTGCAGCAGCCCTGAGGTAAAGGGCAGCCTCTGCTGCTCCCACCCCAGAGAGGGCCACGCTCACACAGCAAGGGCATTAGGGCATTTCATACTCCTCTGAGCTATCACAGTTAAGATCAGCCTATTCAGCAGAGCATTCCT